TGTACCATTACTGTTCAGTGTCTCAAGAGGACATGGAATCATCCCAACCACGACGTCATTCTCATTCTCATTCTCCCCCTCTCTACTAGCATCAGTAGAGCCATCTCCAAACAAGGAACTTAACTCTGTTTTCTCCCCATAAAAAGGTTCAAACTCTCGAAAAGTCACATCCATACTAACAAACAACCTTCTTTCAGTGGGACACCAACACTTGTATCCTTTTTGACTTGATGAGTAGCCAACAAAGATACATTTAACTGCTTGTGTATCCAACTTACTCACCATCAATCTGTGATCCCTCACATAACATGTGCATCCAAACACTCTTGGTGGAACAACAAAAACATTCGAGCCCAAGAGCATCTCACAAGGTGTCTTCATCCCTAATACTCTTGATGGCATCCTATTGATCAAATAAGCTGCCGTCATGACAGCCTCACTCCATAAAAACTTAGGCACATTCATTGTCAACATCAATGAACGAGCCACTTCCAGTAGATGTCTGTTCTTACGTTCACCTACCCCATTCTGAGCAAGGGTGTCTGGACAAGTGGTTTGATGAAGGATTCCCTGACTAGAGATGAAAGCGGCAAACTCCTTGTTGACATACTCAGTCCCATTATCTATTCGGAGAATCTTCACCTGCAATCCAAACTGTGTCTTCACATAGGCTGAGAAGTCTTGAAAACATTTGTAAACCTCAGATTTCTGTTTCATCATGTATATCCAGACCATATGTGAATAACAATCAATGAAAGTAACAAACCATCTAAAACCACTAATAGAGGTAGTAGGACATGGTCCCCAAACATCAGAATGGACAAGTGCAAATGGTTCACAACTTCGAAGACCAATCATTCTATAAGTAGAACGAGTATGTTTTCCAAGTTCACAGGCATTACAAAATAACTCTTTTCTATCCACTTTCTTCATTAACTCAGGTTCTAATCTATTTAAACTCTCAAAAGATAAATGCCCTAACCGGCAATGTTGAAGCATCGCTTCTGCCTCTGGCCCTCTGCTAACAGCAGCAACAATCATTACAGTCTCCCTATCCAAATACCAAAGACCATCACGTCTAATGCCAGTCCCAATCCTCCTCCCCGTTTCCTTCTCTTGAAAGACACACAAATCTCGATCAAATAACACGGTGCAATTTAATTGATCAATGAGAGAGCTAACTGTGAGTAAGTTAACTGGAAATGAAGGAACATGCAATACAGATGACAATGTAACAGATGAAGTACAATGGACCGAGCCAGTACCCCTGATGGGTTAGGATGTCCCATCAGCAGTCTGAACTGTTTCAGGATGCATATGCTTACTCGGATAATATAGTGCAAACTCACTAGATGCTCCTGTGACATGCCTAGATGCACCTGAGTCTATGATCCAATCAACATGAGTTTTAGTGGATGCAAGTGCCAGAACCTGTGTACCTTTGTTCGCATGAGCATAACCAATAAAGTTACCAAAGCATGTAGTGGTAGCCAGATCCTGGGTGACTTGTCCCTTGCCTTTCGAACTCTCAGCCTGAAGCTTGAATAGACGTAGTCCCTCCAGCTCTGTTATTTCAGCTCCAGTCATCCCAGCAGTAGTCTGAGATTCATCTGCCACAGCTACGTGAGCAGCTCCTTGGCCTACACGCCCCCTACCTCCTCGACCTGCACGGCCACGTTCACCCCAGTTCCTTTCCCTGGGTGGCTTAGGGCACATCTGTCTCAGATGCCCTACCTCTCCGCAGTTGAAGCACTGCCTAGTTTCCCTTCTAAATCCAGTGTTATCCGGGTTGGATACCACCAGTGCAGACTTCTCCCCTGTAATTCCACCTATCCCAGACTGTAGCCTGATACGACTCTCCTCCTGTATCATGGCCGAGACTGCCTTCTCCAGTGGTGGGATCTTCGTCTGGGTTAGTAGGAATGCTGTTCTCTGCTCATACGCTGGAGCCAAACCTCGGAGAAACAACATGGTCCTCTTCTGCAAAGAGGCCTCGCGCTCCTCGCACTCTGGGTCCTTGCAGCTCGCTAAGGGGGAGAAGTGATCGTGATCGAGCCATAAGCGCTCCAGCTCTGTGGCGTACTCCTGTACAGTCCTCTCTCCCTGGACTATAGCGTTGATCTTCTTCTCGATCTGGAATACCCTCAGGTTATTCAACTTCTTGATGATCTCCTCCATCGGATTTTTTTCAGTCTTCGTCATCGATCCAACTTGTATTCTTGTGTGCAGTGAAAATTTCGGCAGCACTTCGACAGCACCACAAGAGAGATAGATCAACAAGAATTCCTGTTTCACCAAGGAAACAAGAACCAGAAGCAAAATATCTCAACAATGTGAGATATCAGCTCTTCTCTCATCAGTTCGAGGACTGACCTGTCGAGGGAACCTAAATAAACTATTACAATTCGAGAAAAGAAGAAAGAATTGTCTAATACAGATTGCAGATCCTCTTTTTTTTTCTTGGATCTAATCAGCAACAGTCATCATTTCTTTTTTTTCTTTTTTTTTCTTTGGATCTAATCACCAACAGTCATTTTTCCTTTTTTTCTTTTCTTTGGATCTAATCACCAACAGTCATATTCTCTTCCCAAAAATCCCCAAAATCCCTGAATCACAACAAAATCCCCCTCCCCCCCCCAAAAAAAAAGAAGCGGGTCCTCTAGTCCTCTAGCCAGTGGCCTCTACGCCGGAGCTATTGTCCTCCTCTTCTTCAACATAAGCAGTCCTCTACGTCTCAGACCCAGATCCAGAGCTATTGTCCTCCTCTTCAACATAAACAGCCCTCTACATCCGGAGGTACCGTAACCCTAATGGCGACGAAGTCCCTCCAAAAGGCCACCACTCAACCGAGTCCTCTACGTCCGCGTCTCCTTCATCGACGTCGACGTCACTAACTCCTCCGACGACGAAGACGAAGGAGGACACCGTCGTTCGAGACCCGAGGGCGCAGAGGGAGGCGACGATGGGGAAGTTGGGCGGCGGCGATGTGGTAACCGACCCGGAACCAGCGACGATGGGAAGTTGGGCAGCGGAGAGCGGCGGATTTGGCTTAGAAGAGGGAGGCGGCTAGGTTCAGCTCTGATACCATTTGTAACGCCCCGCCCCGGAATCCCGGGGTCGGTACGCTACTAGATCTGATGGACTGGCCTCACAAACCACCACATGTCTTTTCAGCACGTTTTTGTCCTCACTCACGTGCTCCCTGGAAAACTTCCCAGGGGGTCACCCATCCTAGAATTTCTCCAGGCCAAGCACGCTTAACTTTGGAGTTTCTAAGAATTGGTTCCCGAAAAGAAGATGCATCTTGATGGTATGAGTATTCCAATCAAATCTATCAATACCAATCACATCACCCTCTCAAGGGTTGGGGTATTACATACTCCCCCACTTAAACTCACAACGTCCTCGTTGTGCCAAACCATATCATCCAAGACCGTACCATCCGTGTGAGATTCTAGAGGTGGCTCCTACGGCCTCAAGAGGTGGCTCCCGTCCTCTCGACGTAGCACTTTGTGCCGCATAGCACTTAGCTCTCACAATTCCGGTTGGCTTGGCTCTGATACCATGTAAGATTTGAGTTTAGGGTTTCCTTTTGTTGTTCTTTTTCTCTCATAGAGAGATACTCCTTTTATATAAGTCCACTTTTACAAATAGGTCCAACAACATTGACTGTGAATTTGAAATGGAGGGTATCTTACAAAATTGTTCTTTGATTGTTCCACATTATTGGGCTATGTTTACTATATTGAACAGTTTGTGAGACATGGAGGTGCATTATTGCAGAAAGCTTTTTGTGTTTGATTTCTCTTCTTTTTTCTTTTGTAGTCCAGGTGTTGAGGTTTGGTGAGAATGTGATGATTGCCGAGATCAGTAAATTAGATTGGGAAGTTACTTTCAGAATATCACTTTAATTATTGATTGTTGTCTTGATGTCTATGCAATCATTGTCTAACTGCTGGTAATAATGATTAAAATTTTGTGAGAATGATGAAGAATTATGGTTTCGTTGTATGGAGCTTTATTGTCTTGTTGTTGAGATGTACGAGATTCTATGAGAACATGTGCTGTCTACGTTTGATTAATTGCTAAAATAGGCAAATTGAGGTGATTATTTTTTAAACTTGTATTTTGTTGACTAGGCGTCCTCATCTAATGTATAAGCTGGGTCATGGTTTATGGCCAAGAATCTCAGATTCTTCGCTTGAAATATATCTTGTTTAGATTTGAAGCAAGGTCTGCTGAATTAAGTGGCGGTTGAATTACAAGGTCCTTGACAGTTTAAGCTCATCTTAACAAGTAGTAATAAGATCACACGTTTCTTAGTTCTTCTATACGTGAGAAGTGAATTTAATCTGGTTTATAGTGGCTTATTATTTTAGATTCGATTTCTGACCATAGCATTCTGGTCATCATCCCTTTTACTCAAAAAAAAAAAAAAAAAAAATTTACTTCTGGTTTATAGTGGCTTATTATTTTAGATTCGATTTCTGACCATAGCATTCTGGTCATCATCCCTTTTACTCAAAAAAAAAAAAAAAAAACATTTACTTGTTATTTGTGTGAATATCGTAAAATATTTTTGTATGACTTAACAGTTCATTTGGTATCTCATTGTCATGGATTCTTTTTGCTTGTTATAAATTGCTCCAATCTGTTAGATGTTCCTATATGTCTTTTGCCTATCTATATCTGGAAATATCTTACACACGCATCTGCACACATACTTCAGAAAGATATGTATAGTAACAAGCGTGCGCGCATGCACACGCGCACACTATAGGTTATTTCTGGATGGATTTGGTTTACACACACGCATACATGCATTAATCTCACATTGTTAGTCACAGAGATTATCAATTTTATTTATAAGTTTTACAGTACACCACCCATAATTGAAATTTCCAAACCCAGCAGTCTACCAATCACAATCCACGTTTAAAGTGAAATTTGTATTGGTGTTCATCGACCACCGGAGCAATCAACTCAACAAGTCCTGATCATGTATAATGACCTCTAAAGAACTCCGATGATAAAATGCAACCAAATTAGTATCATGCAACAACTAAAACCTTTATTTAAAGATGCTCATTCTTGCATCTGGAACATAAACTGATTCAGCACTTGATAATCATGGATTGTTGGGCATACAAATGAGGGAAGCTGAAACTTGTTCACATACATAAGTTCATATCTTCTCCAGCTTTAAGCTTAACCTTCACCATCTGCTTCATTTCCAAAAAGCATTTCCTGGCAGAAGGTGTTTTGTTTAAAAGGCACCACCTGGTCAGACACATGCAAATAAAGGTTTCATTTAGTGGTGAAACCACAATCAGGCCATAGATAGATTTCACAGAGACCAACAGAAGAGCGACTGTTTTTTATGAACTTGGTAGCTTATTAATTGGCTATCTCTTGTTTCAAGTAAATTCCAGAGATGAAATACTCAGCCAATCATAATAGAGGAAGGAGCTTAATTACCTTCTGTTCAAGGGTGGTGCGTTGGTGGTTTGACCACCACCCACGGTGGTGGGGGAAAATAAGGCCTGGGTTCGAGTAATCCCCATCGAGAAGTTTGAACCTGGATTCTATCTGAAAACAGTAGGTTCAAATTTGTTACCAACATTGAAGTTCCTTTGACATATTTTATGGCGTTGCTTTGGAATAACAAATGTGGCTTACCTGCGGGAACTGTGCCTGATGAAAATACTTTAAGCGCGAGGAGAACGACGGTGATGAGGATCATGCAGCTGAAATGAGTTAAGAGCTTCATTGACAAATCTTCTTGAGGAACTAATTCAGACTAAAAATAATTTGGACAAAGATTTGCTTTTAATTCTTTAAGGTATGTTTTTTATGTTTGCTTAAGTGGCTACTGGTTGCTTCATTTATATGTCGTTTAGATGGAACAGAATGATGAAAGTGTTTGTTTTGTTCTTCCCTTCTAATTAAAAAGGTCCATCAGCTGACTTGATTCTTGCTTGCATTCTTCTGCTTTTTTTTTAATAATAAATTTATCTCGGTGGGTAGTTAGCATTCTTCCAATAAATTAGGGACCGAACCACATTATGTCGATGTCTTACTGGTTCCGCAAAGTCCTTTTCTTTACTAGTTGTTTATTACCTAACAGTGCACCGCTGAAATTTCAATGAAAGTTCCATGCAAGAAATTAAGTCCATCACAAAGCTGACTCAAAAGTCTTGTTACACGGTCTTTTTATAGAACACGGTTGGTATTCTTTCTATTAATTAATATAATGGACCTTGGACTTTAATATTGAAGTGTCTCGCTTCATCTCTAAAGCTTTCTAATGTATCCAATCATGTCTCTTGCTAAATAATTAGATGCAAGATATATAGAGTCCATTGTGTTTCTTATCTCAACTACGCAGAAAATTTTGAAAGATAGAATAATACGTTCAGTCCCCTCGTTACACACAATATGGACAAGTTGAACTCTGTTCTTTTTAACGTTTAAGAGAAACATCTCTTGCTCAGATCCAAACCAACACAAAAATCAAAGAGAAAGAAAGAAATGGCCAATTGACAACTATGACAAAACTTTGAGTTTACCACATATGCAGAAAGTATCCCAACTTTCATCAGATCAAAAACATATATAAATGAACTAAAAAAAGAATGAAAGAAAAATAAGGAGAATTCTATGACAGCTATCATCTCTCCCATTACGAATTTAATAGCTGATATAAATCTCAACACATTTAGTTCTCATAAGCATACTAAATTGAAGACTTAATTGTCTAGTCATGCTTTCACACGGTTCCAAATTTCTCAATTTCTAATCAAGTTGAGTAACATTATTAACGAGATTTGGTTAAAAATAACTCAGACCTGCAATATGGAATACCTTTTAGAGGCTTTGGTTTGCTGCAAGCGGAATGTATCATCCATTATAGAAAATAAGAGATATGGAATACCTTTTAGAGGCTTTGGTTTGCTGCAAGCGGAATGTATCATCCATTATAGAAAATAAGAGATATTGTCACGACCCCAAAATGCGTGGTTTGCTGCAAGCGGAATGTATCATCCATTATAGAAAATAAGAGATATTGTCACGACCCCAAAATGCGTAACTTATTTCGAGATGCATGACAACTGTAACACGTGCAAAAAGCACATGCTAAGCCCGCTGCGCACTCAATATCACAAATAAAACTTTCAACAAAAGAAACTTTATTGACATATAGAGGTCTTAGTGCAAAAACTACATTATAACTAGTTCACTTTGATGAGTCGAAAGACTCTTATTACTTAACCACAATAGCATGACTATTATAACTATAATTCACCATCAAGCACTCTAAACGACCCTTCTCGTGTTCCAAAGCTTTGATGTATTGATAAATCTATCTAATTTTCATTTGAAAAAGATTGAAAAACAGCGGGGTGAGTTTACACTCAGTGAACAGATAACTTATCATTAGTAGATCAAACAAGTTTACGAAAGTTTTTAGTAGTAAATATAAACAAGCTATTGTCAGAGAGAACAATTTTGGGGAACATATATTTTTCGAACAAGAGAAAATTTCATTAATAGCATGTGACAATGTCATAAAATAATTTCTACAAAATTTAAGAAATAATATGAATGAGCACTAAATACTTTTAAACTGTAAAATCATATTTTGTAAACTTCCTCAGTTATCAATCACACTAAGACTACGAAAATTATAGCCTAGTAGTATGTGAATGTGCATTGAATCACTATAGGTCAAACTGGAGATAGAATGTGCCTAGCACTACCATAAGTTGCCCGAAGGCCACTTCACTTTTGTCAGAAAAGGCCACTTTAATACTCATTGGTATATTCCATACCATATGGTAGACTTGGACAAATCACTTCACTCCATAGTGAACTTCTGAGGATTTTAATACGTTCAATCCCCTCGTTTCACACAATATGGACAAGCTGAACACTGTACTATTTAATGTTTAAGAGAAACATCTCTTGCTCAGATCCAAACCAACACAAAAATCAAAGAGAAAGAAAGAAATGGCCAATTGACAACTATGATAAAACTTTGAGTTTACTTAACACAAAAATCAAAGAGAAAGAAAGAAATGGCCAATTGACAACTATGATAAAACAAAGAAAGAAATGGCCAATTGACAACTATGATAAAACTTTGAATTTACCACATTTGCAGAAAGTATCCCAACTTTCATCAGATCAAAAACATATATAAATGAACTAAAGAAAGAATGAAAGAAAAAGAAGTAGAATTCTATGACTGCTATCATCTCTCCCATTATGAATTTAATAGTTGATATAAATCTGAACACATTTCTCATAAGCATACTAAATTGAAGACTTAATTGTCTAGTCATGCTTTCACACGGTTCCAAATTTCTCAATTTCTAATCAAGTTGATTAACATTATTAACGAGATTTGGTTGGAAATAACTGGACCTGCTATATGGAATACCTTTTAGAGGCTTTGGTTTGCTGCAAGCGGAATGTATCATCCATTATAGAAAATAAGAGATATTGTCACGACCCCAAAATGCGCAGCTTATTTTGAGATGCATGACAATGGTAACACGTGCAAAAAGCACATGCTAAGCCTGTTGTGCACTCCATATAACAAATAATACTTTCAACAAAAGAAACTTTTTTGACATATAGAGGTCTAAGTGCAAAAACTACATTATAACTAGTTCACTTTCATGAGTCGAAAAACTCTTATTACATAACTGTAGTAGCATGACTAGTATAACTATAATTTCACCATCAAGCACTCTAAACGATCCTTCCCGTGTTCCAAAGCTCCGAGGTAGTGATAAAGCTATATAATTTTTATCTGAAAAAGATTTAAAAATAACAGGGTGAATTTACACTTAGTGAGCAGATCGATAACTTATCATTAATGGATCAGGCAAGTTTACGAAAGTTTTCAGTATTAAATATAAACAAGCTATTGTCAGAGAGAACAATTTTGGGGAACATATACGATGAGAACAAGAATTGACAATCTTCCATTTCAGCTTAGTTTGAATTTTTGAAATTTGAAATTTAAAATTTAAATTGTTGTTTAATTTGGTAGTTAAAATTTATGAGAGATTTGAGGGATTTTTCTATTTTTGCTAGGATTTTAATTTTCAAACTTTGAATTTTTGAATTTTTAAAATTTGATCAAATTTAATAGTGGAGTGATTTGAGGGAATTGAAATTTGTAATTTTCTCTTTATAAACATGGTTGTAATGAGAAGAAAAGATCAATGAAAAAATGGAAAATTGAAATGAAATTGTGTTAGCTTATTTTGTGTGAAACCATGGGTGTGAAACCCTAAGCCTATACTGTTTCTTCTCTCTCTTTCATCAGCCGTTAGATCTTCTCTATTCTCTTCCACGTAAAACAACTCAATCTCAAAGCCCTAGCCAAGATCCCCCTCTCTCTCATTCATCTCTCCCATAGACCAAGCTCCACCGCCAGAATCAAAACCCCACCGATAAAACCCCTCATCCTTCCCCTCCATCTGTCGTTCCTCCTCCACCTCTGACCGCCTACAGAGATCCCTGAGCTCCACCACCCTACGTCAGCCGCCGCTCGGGTCTCGCCTCCCCAACAACCATCGCCGTGTCTCCCTTCCCCAACAGTCGCCTCCTGGATCCCCTCAGCTTAGAGACAACCCAACAGATTCCCCTTGCTCACCCCCTATCAGTCCACTAACACGTCATCAAACAGATCCGCCACCAGTTCACCTCCTCCCGTCATCGATCTTCGTCATCGAGTAGCCCTCATCCTCTTCTCCTCAGATCGAAGCTGTGCCGAATAGAGAAGTCAGATCTGGATTGCTTTGAATCAGATCCGACCCATTTCATTTTGGTTTGAGTCCGTAGGTTTCATTTTCTCTTAACTCAGTATTTTCTGTTAATCTCATTTATTTAGCTAATTACATGAGTATATCACCTCTAAACTATTATCTTATATTCACTGCTTAGAGTATAATTTGTGAGTTGAGAGAAACTGAACATATGCCTGTTGCAATTTTAATATTGATCTTAAAACTTGTGTAATGATAATTAATCCGACAATTGAATTGTTTGAGATTGGAATTGTTCATGATTATCGTTGCAAATCTTATTAAAATCCATCTGTCATATTAATCGTTTTAAGCTAATTTCATGCCGAAGATCATGAATTTTGGCGAAGCGGTGCATTGTTCGAATTAAATCGCTGATTCCGATAGATCTCCTACCCCGTTTTGCATCATTTTTGGTATCAGAGCATAGTTCTAGGTTAGGAAATTTTTATTTTTTTTTTATTTTTTTTATTTTTTAGATTAGTTTAATTGAGTCTTTTATTTGATTTATAAAAAAAATTATCATTCATTTCATTTAGCTGTTTGTGGACACTATTCATCTCATCTAGTTGTTAGTGCATGCTTAATCGTACATGTCTACCAAATCGATTAGAAGAGTCAAGTGACTAGTGAGTCCAGTATGTCAGACAGCACCGATCACGAACTCCTTAATAAATTCGATGAACTAAAAAGACAAATAGGTGTCGTAGCCCAGAGCTTAACAAATTTCTAGAATGAAACCAACAAAAGGTTTGCTAGGCTCGAAGAAGCGCATGCTGCAACTCCGTCACCACAAGGCAAGGCTATAGATACCCATCGCAAGGTCATGGTTACGTCATTCATCGAACCCCACATCAACCAGTGTCTGATCCACCAACCTTTGACGATAAGCTCGGCCCACAAACTTTTTTGAATTGGCTGAAGAGCATGGATCGACACTTTGACTGGTACTCCGTGACGGAACCAAGAAAAGTTAAATTTTCGGCAATGAAACTCACCAGACCAGCCTGCCAATATTGGTCCAAACTCGAAACGTTAAGGTATATTAG